TCCCAGATGTTCGCGAACATCCACTATTTTGCAGCCGTTGTAAAGATGTCTTTATTACGTCTTTGCAGATGAGTTTCTTGTCGCATAGACATCGTTATTGCGTCTTTCGCGGGTGATATTTTGCTTGCGAAAGCATCATATCACGACGTCTTAAAGACGCCTAAATGTTTGCCAAATTCCACCGTTTTGCAACAGTTGTGAAAATGTCGTTAGTATGTCCTTGTGCTACATATTGATTTATGCAGAAAAATAAGCTTAATAATTAATATATTTTTCTTCTTTTTTTTAATTTTGTATTCCTTGTATTTATCTAAAGTTTAAATAGTTTATCATTTCCTGAAAACCAGAAGATAATATAACTTTTTCTGTTTAGACTAAATATGCATAAATTATAATAGCCTTGACTATCAGTACTGTAAACTAGATTTTTGTAAATAAATTAAATTCCAAGTCGAAAGATTTCATCATTTTTTCCCTTAGTGAGAGTAATTATAAATAGTTATTATAAATATATAACATTCATAGTAGGTTTAAGTAAAAAACTCAATTAACATAAATAAAGTAAGGCCCCGCGGCCGAGCGGTAAAGCGCTGAACACTGGTAGTTCGGTCTGAGGTTCGAATCCCGCGAACGGGCTGGCTGCATGGGCGTTTTCGTGGTTTTCCCCATGTGTAACGTGTATACGAGCCAGTTTCCCTTAGAAAGTCCTCCACGAAAGGCATCCCTCCCTTTAGGCAGATAGCCCTCGTGTGCTTTGCCATAATTAAATACACCAACACCAACACCATAAATAAAAGTAAAGATACATATGTGGGTAAAAAAGAGTGTTTCTGATAACCGCATTATCACATTTATTTCTGTTAAATCTCGGAGGCATTGAAAATTGCCTCTGTCATGATAAATTAGGAAGGGTTCTTAAGGTAACATAATCAGTATTTTACCTGAAGTCAAGTATAAATTTTTTGGCGTTTCATATTAAAGAGTATAACTATTAACTTCTATATCTTCAAGATATGCAAATAAAAGACAGTATAAAGTAGCTAATAAATGTGATAAAAAATATATCTAAATCTAATAACTTCCCACATTCATATCTAAAATGAAATAATAACCTAACAAACAACATACATGACAGCACTATTTAAGAAAAAATATGAACTAGTAGTGTTTGAAAGTATAAATAGCGGAAGGAAGGTAACAGAACTAAAATTTCCAATTAATAAAAAAAATATTTGTTTTTTAAATAGTAAGCAATTAAAAGTGCAATAATTATGGATTGTAGTATTTACTAGTAACGCTGATGTTCCTTAACATCATTTTTTTCGATCATATGTAAATGTACTTACTTACTATTAGTTTCTACATTTTAGAATAGTGGTAGCTTACAATGATCATTTCATGCACTTTTTATAATCAACATTTCTTTTGATACTGTACAGAAATAATTTAAATAATATAGTACACGATAGTACACTATAGTAAGCTAAGTACGTTAACGTAAGCTCTTCGTTAAATAGCACACAATGAAACTTTTTGTTTTATTATCAATTTCTTTGTTATCACATGCACATAAAATGTAAGCGAAGAAAATAGAATATACTTAAATTTAATAAAGAATAAAACCTAATTTCCAACATTTATTTATTGAGATAATCCAATAGCCATGCATAACAGCAATATTTAAAAAACGCGAATTACATAGTGTTTGGAAGAAAGGTACCAAACGACAATTAATAAAACTGCAATTTGCAATGAATAAAAATATATTTATTGTTTTTAATATTACACACTTAAATATCGCATAATTATAGATTACAATATTTCATAGTAATCCTAATGTTTCTTTAACACTATTTTCTCGATCATATGCTGAAAGTCTGAAAACCAACCTGTTCGTTTAATATGAGTGTGATATACTTAGGACTTTTATAACCGAATCCGTGTATCCAAATATTGCACCGCTAGATCACTGAAGATTGGAGAACACCACCATGTAAGTTTAATCACCAGAAACATAAAACACCAAAACAGAGTACTAATTTCACTGTAGGACGATTTTAGCACATTGCATTGTAGAGCAATGTTCACAAAACAAACTAGCAGAAATTCGGCATTAACACCATAATTTCTCCTCAATTCAAAATAAACTGCCATCATTATATGCCATCATTCTTTTCCATCGTTCTCTTGCTGTATTGAAGCTCTCCAGTATTTATTTCCGACGGTGAGTTACAAAACCGTGAAGAAAATTTTTCTGAAAATACAATTAAAATGGAGTCTGAAATTATTGCGCTGTTAACTAACTTGTTCGAATTTGGCAGCTAGCCAAAGCGCGTAAGCCTCGACCTCAGATTTTCGTTTATATAATCATCCAGTAAGTAATATGTACATGGAATGTCAATCTCTCGAACAGCAATTCAATCTAAATTTTCAGCGGTTTATACAATGGCATTAAACCTTTCGATGGTGCTTCTGATAATTTAATAGAATCTTTTTTAAATGGCATAGAAGAATTATTCAACGAATAGAATACAAACAATGTTCACGATTTATTACAAAAAAAAAAAAAAAAAATATTATCGGGCTTCCTAAAACATTTAATTCAATATCGCCAATCCCGAGTGTACCGTATACTAGGATAAACCAGCATTTTTTAAATGCATGGAGATGGACAAAAACGTAACAAACAATTCATCAGAACTTTATAGTAATGAATTTCGTATTTTTGTTCACAGATTCTCTAAGTTGATGTCAACATTTATTAGCAATTTATCAAAGTCATTATTTTGTCGTTTCCATTTAAAAATGTAAATTTCTTTCTCTTTTTCCATTAATTTTTCCATCAGATATTTGGACAGCCGTTAAATACACATGGATATCAACGTCTTTTAACATTGGGCGTTTTTCTCGGAATTCTTAAATCGCCCCATTATAATCGTGAGACATCTCACGCATTAATCCTATCTTCGCGAAAATTGTACTTTGTGCCTGTATGCGGTAAAATGTTTCATATTATGTCAGCATATAATTCAAATAAATTGTCCCTTACTTCAAAAAATAAATAAAGTCATATTTCAGCTGTAAAATTGCTAACATGTGATTGCATTGATTTCGAAAATATGATTTTTAAAATATATAATTGCATAACTTGATAACTTACTTATAGATTAGTTTCATTTTTAAAATATTTGGTATATTTAATAAAAAATTAATAAAAATATGTATATTATATTAAAATATTAACAACATTATATAAAAATATATTTAACCTATTATATAAAATATTATTTATTTTAACAATATTAGACGTTTTTTAGCTAATACATTTAATAATTCAAGTATTCTAAATTTATATTCATATGATCTTAGATTAATATATTTAGATGAAATAAAATAATGAAACATTGCAAAATAAATCTTATGCCGACTTCAGATTCTTGAAAGGGCAGGTTTCGTTTCGCGGTTGACCAACTAATAACTCAATGGTAGTTAGCAAAAGATAGATTAAGAACTTTGAAAGTACAGAAAAAATTTAGTGCAGATATCAATCCATACTATTCTAGACTTCAGCATAAGCCGTGTTCAGGTTTGAAGGTCTGTTTCTTTGAACTGCTCACCTATTTCTTAAACTATGCATTATCATACAACGAGTATAAATAAAATGAACTTTACATATGCAAATGTTCTTTATCTCTTTCTCTATAATGGAGTTTAGGTCACACCGTGAATGAACTTCTCGTGTTCTCTTCCAAAGTAACACCGGCTGCCTTTGTTACATATTTCTGTATATAAACCATATATACATAGATATCTTCGAATTTTTATGCCATTTCAACAAAGAATTTCAATGAAATTAACAGCTTTCAAAATTGAGGGCCGGCTTAAGCTTATGTTATATAATTATCAACAAACTTCAATCTCCGTTGAGGTGAGCATCCGAGTGGTATGCTAAATTTACGATCATATCTGAGAGGGAACAACCGAGGCAAGAAATTAATATTACAAACGTAATGTTGCTATTCAGTTTCCCTAACAGATGTAATTTGTTCAGAAATTTTACCGGGTATGTAATACAAAGGGTTTTTGAAAAACATTATTGCAAACTGTTATTGATATAACGCTTTATCCTAGCGTTCCGTAGCTTCATAAAACAAGGTTGGAAATTGTTTATGGAAACAACCTCAACACTAGGAGAAAGAGGGCTTTCTATGTGCGATTTCACTTCTTATATAGTTTCTGTAGATCCTAAGGCCTATTTAATAATATTCTCATTATGTTCAGTAGTTTAAATGAAAAATTTTCCTGCTTTCATGCGAAAAATTTACGGAGATGTAAATAATTAATAATTGCACGAGGGGCATCTGTTACAGTAAATAGCTAGTGGTGCTTTACCGAATACGGGACCATAAACCTACAAAACAAACAGCATTTGTTTTGTAGTTTATGCTTAAATCTAACTGATGGTTAAAAAAATCTTTTATGCTACGAAATGTGATCTAACTCAACAAATTTCTCTAATGCTTTCGAGAATTCGGGCCATAAAGGTATAGTATTCTGTATTCAACTTATTAAAACATATTGCCCCTTTAGCTAACTGAATCTCAATAAAGTTTATTAAAAATTATATTTTATATTTACAAAACCATTCTACTGAAACTGTTTTCCTGAAATTCTTTATTTTGAAACATTTTCTGATTGGAAGGACATGTTAAAATCAATACTTAAGGAAATAAATCTTACTTATGTTTGATGAGCACACTATACCCCAAGCTAAATTTTGCACATTTCGGTACTGAACTTCTGATATACGGGTGATATCACGGCAAGGGAAATGGAGAGCAGTATCTTTGTCTGCCATACTGACGGAATCGAACATTAAAAGGGATTAAATATTTTTCCATCTCCTATTTAAATTTCTTATTTTTTGTATTTATGTTAAGTAGTAAACAAAGTCCTTATTTTATTTTACTGTGTAATCTTATTTAATATCTTAATTTTAGGACTCTTAGAATCCTCTGTTGCTTCTTGATTCTGATACATTATGGAAAAGATGAACGGAATCAATGGAATAATTACACCAGATGAAGACATTAAAGATACAAATGGAATCATTATATGTGGCGAAGAGAGGGAAAAAATTCAACAAGTGAGTTACGTAATAACTTAATCCCTTGGAAGACTGGTAACTGATGTACACCAAATTTCATTATCTCTTGGTCATGCTTGAATAAAGAATCTTAATTGTTGAAAGTAGTTTTGAACTATGAAATAAGATGATTAGTGTTATGTAGTGAAAACAATTAAGGAGCTTGCAAAATAAAATAATCAGTAGTTTATTAAAGGAGGATTTCGCGGAATGGATATTGAATATCGTAGTTATTGCTTTTATGTGGCATTCCTGTAATAACTCATACAGCGTTCTTCTCATAACAAGCAAATACCACAGACACATAATCAAGGAAACAACATAATAAAAATATTAAAAGATTATTTTTTTACTCAAAAATCGCTGATAACCATGCGAGTGAAATTACCTCTTCAGGACTGCAAGATTATGACTTGGCGAATCATTGCTCATAACTCAGCAAATCATGAATGAAACCTTTTGAGATCAATAGTGCATGGTTTGGAGTTCAATTTGTTTCCATGGGCAGCTCAGTTCTCTGCCGTCAAGCTTCAAATTTATGGGACGAAGTGGAAATATCACTTCGAAGCTTAGGAGAATGACCATCCAATATGGACGTAGCCATTAAAACAACCATTACATCAGCATGAGTTAATATTCCTCATAAATGATTTGAACGTTTTTGAGGAATAAATGTTTAAAATATTAAACTTAATTTGATTCTTTTTAAAACTTAATCTGATTGTTTTGAAGCAAATATACATTTCGAGGGTAACGCTCAACTTTTTTAGTTTTTGATTTCAAGCTGAAGGGGGACCAAGGCGTTATTGGGGGTGTTTCTGAAGGATTCTTAGGACTCGGGTCCTCAGTTTGTAAAAACTCTCATTCATGAAGATTAGAAATTATTATGAAATTTCATCATAGAAGTAGAAAAGTAATCAGTTCTTCTTTGAGCTATGCATCAAGCTGAGAACTTCTTTAAAAGTTATTACCAAGTTTTTTTTTTTTTTACTTTCATACTAATCTTTCTTTCAATAAAGCAAAAACCATTCTTCTGGTTATGACATAGATCTAAATTAAAATGTCGATGCAAAAGCATATTTAATCATCGTTTTCATAAAAAAGTCTTTAGGTCTGACACGATATATGGAAAAGGCTGCATCGTTAGCCAACAGATTTTACTCTTGAAGCCTTGATCCTAGCAATTCGACGTTATACTTAACCCCAAATGACACACAAGATTATTCAACTGTGCTTCTGTAATCGTATGAGGCTTTGAATGTTTCTGTGATGGAATGTAATCCATGTCAGTGTCAGTTTCAAGTTTACAAGATAGCACGCTTTTTTCATCAGCTAAAGGAATGTTAATGGGTGGCTGTGGTACAGGAATCACGTCACCGTGCGGTACTGGCGAAATGCAGAACGAATGTTGGTTACTGAGCATGCTTCTGCTTCTTAAAGTTAAGTCATTTTGTAGTTGGTGTAGCAGTAATAGCAGTGATTTTTAGGCAGGATAAGGATTGACGCATATTTTCGAAGACACCTCGCATTTTCCGAATATATCGCCTGCAACAACGGTGATCCTAGCGACTAGATCCATATTGGTCTCAATGGAGCACTCGTAGATTAGGCTTTTCATATGGCCCCACAGGAAAAAGTCCAAACATGAGAGATCCGGTGATCCTGATGGCCAAGCTATGCGACCACCTCGATCAATCCATCTCCCTGAAAATTTCCTGGTTTGTATAACCAGCAATCCTCTTGGCAATCTACGGTAGAAAATGCCATTGGATGCGAAGACCGACCATTTTTATACCATTTACTTACAATATTACCTAGCGGCTCACCGTTTGTATTCCACCCATACATTCTATGATGGATATTGCTTGTAGTGCTGCCTTCTATCACCCTCTAAAATTTTTCCCATTTGTTCAGATCCATCCTGTGGGTTACATTATTTATTTGTGCTCAGACTCTTAACATCATTATGCAAGACTGAAAGAAAAATGTTGTTACAAAGACTGTATTCTGTTTGATGTTGCTGGAGACACTAATTGTTTATTTTGTTTGTCAGGATTGGAATTTGCATTCTTCAAAGATGTTTCATACACTATAGCATATAGGCTACCGATATGGTTTTGTGGTCATAAAATGTTATTGTGAATTAAATTATCGAAGTAACAAAATAAGTTTCATGGGTAGTCGAAGAATTTTGGCCTCTAGTTGTTTTATCGCTTTACTGAGGACTTTCACATCTTATGTAGCTAAAACTATAATTCAGAGTAGTAATACAAAGATATTGAACTATTTTTAAAAAATGTTTTCAATATTTACGCACTAAAATCTAATCAGAATTGAAATTATATAACAGGAGGTCGTTCATCTGTCGTGAGGGAGCAGTATATAGCGGGAGTAGCCAAACTTCGTGACACGAGGAGCAGCATTTTAACATTCAGGAATTTTGAAACCCGCAGCTAGGTTTTCCAAGAGCCGTAGTGCCGTATTTATATCATTTTTAAAATAATAAAATTGAATTTGCATGAATAGAAACGACTGAATTAAATTGATAAGAATTTCTCGTTTAATAAATGTGGCTATTTGTAAATAAGAACTTTTATTGCATTTCCCTTATTTTGAAAAACGTTTGTTCCTACCATATACAGATTTGAAATTGTTGTACAATGCGACTGATTATTCTTTTTTAAACAGAAAGTCAAGCGTTTTCTTTTTTTTTTTCCTTCCCTTCCACCCGTTTATAATTGTGGATTGGTATTAGGAGATGTAAACTGAAATCAAAAGAAGGTATCGTAAAGATCTTTCCGAGTAAAATAGCATGAAAAGCTTTTCATTTGAGAGGCGTTTGAGGCGCTAATTTGAAAAGCATAGTCAGTGATTTTTCTTCATTTTTAACTCGCGTAATAAAGATTAGTTAAATATTTAACTAAAATGAAAACTTTCTTGCTTACCATAATTTATGGCTAAAAATCGGAAAATTTAAAAAAAAAAATATTAAATATTAAATTATACAATTATCGTATACAAACGAAAACGTAATGTCCCAAAATGAACTGAGGTGCAGTTCACATTTAAAGAAAATAATGTATAATTGGACTTATGGTAAATAACGTAGTTCTGTTTAAAACTGTAGATGTATTTTCAAAAATGAAACTGCTTTAGCTACAAGCGAACCGCATTTAAGGCGCCGAAAAAAGCCTCATTCAGCTCGTAAGCCACAGTTTGGCCATGTCTGTTGTAAAAATGAAATGGAGGAAGGTAACAGAGAGGTAGCAGGAAGAGTTATTCGCTTAGATATGACCTCAAGTTAGCGCAATTAACGTTAACTACTTTGGAAGATTATTAAAATTCCGCTATCACATTAGTTAAGATTAATTAAGTTAATTTTTCCTAGTTAGTTCCCTTAGTTAATTTTTCCTAGAAGCTCACAAAGGCAAAATTTGTGAAGCCCTTATTAAATCAGTCAGTTAAGGTCAAATTACATATGATTAAACTGAAATTATGCGACACTTGCTACCGTTTTCATATCAGATTCGATGATAGATGGTTTTGGCTTCAAGTTTCAGTCGAAAATAAATCGTTACAAAGCCACTTGAAATTAATAATTAAGTAATTTTGCATCTTGAAGAGGAAATTCATTTCTGTACTGTGCTTTTCTTCAAAATTTATAAAGGTTCCTTTAAAACCACATCAATCTAAGGTACAGAGTTTACTGAATTTAATACAAATATTTTGCTTGAAATTTGTGATTTATCCAGCTATTCAGTTACAGATATACGTATTCTGAGCTCTTCAAAGTACTTGATTTTAAAATAATACATTTTTAGAACCGAATAAATATGAATACGGTACAAGGTGATCTGAAACTTAAAGCAGCATTTAATTTTTCCCCTTTTGTTAAGATTTCTCTGTTTGTTGTCTTTTAAGATTCGTATTTTCTGTATTAAAAATTTTTTTTTAAAGTTAAGAAATTCCATTTATTTGAAAATCATGCATATCATGTACTTTTTAAATAACTAATAAAAATGAGATCAATGGGAAAACATTATTTAATTTGAATGATTATTTTGAATGACTGTTCTTTTATGACTTAAATAACATATAGTCATCGTCAATAGAACATTGTAAATATTAATACTTATTTATAAAAGTTAATTATATGAATATTTTTAAACATGCAGAAATTTGCCAATATAGTGACGATCGAGCAGAAGAGATAGCTAAACGCTAAAAATTCCACCTAATTTGAAATCCTTGCAAACGGGCTATTTGGTTTTCTCCATGTGCAGCCTGAATATGAGCTAGTTTTCCTTACAGAAGCCTCCACGAAGGCAGACCTTTCTTAGGCAGATATCTCTTCAGTGCTTTGCGTTATTAATTTAACCTGACTGGAGAAAAGTTTTCACACTGAATTTAAAATAAAAAGTATTTTATAAGTTGCGGTACCTTTTCGCCTATTCTGTTTTTACGCTTTTTTATTGCCATAATGTAATTGGTTTATTTGAAAAATACACCTCGTAAAAACCGTGGGCTAGCGGGCGAGTGGCAGTTCACACTGGTAGTTCGGTCCGAGGTTCGAATCCTGCGAATGGGCTGGCTGCATGGGCGTTTTCGTTCCCCCCCCCCATGTGTAACATGTATACGAGCCAGTTTTCTTTGGAAAGTCCTCCACGAAGACATCTCTTCCCTTAGGCAGACAGGCCTCGAGTGCTTGTGAGGCCCTTATTAAATCATAATAAAATAAACCAAAACCAAAATAATCGTGTTAAAACTAACAAGATAGGCTTTAGATACAGAAAAATTGAGAAACATGTTCCTCTCCCTCCAAAAGGGGTAAAATATAGGGAAAAGTATAATCAAGTGGAAAAAAATACCATTCAGGAAGGCATAAAATCTGTCAGTTACTCCTGGAATAAAGTTTCTAGCTATGTTCATTATTAACATGTCATGGAATATTCCGTCTGTTTTGGTTCATTATTTTGCCAGTCGAAGTACATCTCGTGTTTTCAGTTCTAATCTCATTCAATATGTACATGTTATTCTGCATTTCTAGATTATGCAACTGTCAGAGTTATTATCGATATTATTTTTCTGCTTTCTTCCTTTTCAGTACTGAAATCCAAATAATTTCATGAAAACTATCTTTATTTATTCACGATACGCAGCAGTAAACATATGGCTGCATTTTATGCTTTGTTAAGCGTAATTTTTGAAGGTACACTTTTAATACCCGCGAAGGAAAATAAAAATGCATTTTTTACTGTTTCTGAATCTTTGGAAAGATGATATTCTCAAGAAATATTTGCTCGGGAGTTATTGCATTAATGTTGACACTGAGAATGCTCCTTTATGTAATAAAAGTAATTATTCAGATTTGCTTTCTGCGTTTGGTCTTCGAAGCGATTCCGAAATGGATGTAGACACAAAAGGGGATACTGTTTGATCAAAGTAAAGTTAATAGGCTTGTACTTGCAGACATATATTTTAAGCTAGTGAGCAAACATTTTTGGATAATCCTGGAAGAAATAAACCATGTTATTGAACATTGCATATTTAAAGGAAATGCCCTAATATTCACGGCACAGGAATCAACAGATGTAATTTCTAAAATGTAAGCAAATTCTAGGAGTCAAAGAAATATTTTAAACGGTTACTGTCAGAAATTGTTAATTATAAAAGTTATAAAAGTACAGTTGTCCCATTGTTATTGTCACTCTGGAGGAAATCAAAAAAAACACAGAAATTAAACACCAGCGAGTTTCAAACAGGTTAGAACTACACAGATATTACCAAATATGGAAATTACTCTCTTTTTAAGCAATAAGGAAGTGAATAAGGAAATTGCGGATAACTGTGCTGCCCAAATCAGCCCATTACAGAATATTTCATAATAAAATTAAATCATTTTACGCACCAAAACATGACGAAGCTCCGAATTAAAGCATCGAGCTTTGGAGAGGAGAAAATGCAGAATTTTTCAAAATACGGAATTCCGGTTTGGTCATCAGGTCTTTCAGGATGTATTTATAATGCGGAAATAGAACCACCAATAAATTACCGTTATTAGACACCATAATATCTATGTTAACTAATGCATAGCATTATGCTTATTTTAATCATTTAAAACAGTAATATAGAAACAAATACAAATTTCTAGCAATATAAAAAACGGTAAGGCATTGCTATGATGAACAGAAGACGACCTTAATAATCAAGTCTATAAAACTACGACTCGTTGTAGTTAATGAAGTTCACCACTTATTAAGCCCATGACTTTAAAGACAGTGTGTACAATTAGCCCTCCGCGATACAGAAGCTGATACCCACTGGTAAGTAGTACTATTTCTTATACGAGGCATGATTATAAAACGAAGTTTTTTTAACCTAACTTTACCTTCTCAATTATTTATTTTATTACAATTGTTGTGTAAAAGGAGACATCTTTAGGCTTCGTGTAGGAATTTATAGTACAAAAACGGTAATTAAATTTTAATTTGATTGCCTGATTTAACTTAAGTAAAGGCATTAATGCTATGTATGTGTATCCAAATATGGTGCCATAAATCAGTAAAATATTAATAGCAAACATTTCAGTGCAGATGTATTATATAATTTGAATATTAATTTAGCATGAGAATTGATTTTTAATCCTTCACGTTCTTTGGCCCAGCAGCAGCAGCCGAAAGGTAAAATGGCTGGACACTGATAGTTCGACCCGGATTCAAATCCTAGCGAACGGGCTGGTTGCGCGAGCGTTTCCATGCTTTTCTTATTAGGTAAAGCAAATATAAGCTAGTTTCTTTTAAAAAGTATCTGATTTTAGGCAGATAGTAGACCCATCAGCGGTCAAACGGTAAAGTCATTGAACACTGGTAGTTCAACTTGGGTTCGATTCCAGACGCATGGGCTGGGTGCATGACCATTTTCGTGGTTTTTCCCATGCGTAATGTTATTAAGAGCCAGTTTCCCTTAGAAAGTACTTCACGAAGCCATCCTTTCCCTTATGCACATAACCTTTATGTACTTACGCTCTAGCCGTTTAGAGGCATTGGCCAGAAGAGGCCAGAAGCGGTGGTCTTTTTACTTTGGGGCACCTAATAGGTGGGACACTGTTGCCTTCCAGTATAAAATAGACCGACAAATTGCATCCATGCCTGCTCCGGGATTCAAACACGGCCCTTCGTCACCGCAGTCGGCATCACTAACCGTTTTCCCGTCTGAGCGGCCCGATGTGTTTCTCTTCGAATTAAAATTAAACTCAAACATATGACTGAGTAAAAGAATTTTAGCAGAAATTTCGAATGGTATATGTATAGCACAGTACTTTATAGATGAATATCTTTCTTATGATCGTGGATTTTCAAGAAGCTCCTATCGTATTTTATAAACACCAGCGCAATTTACTAGTAGTCTTTTAAAATCAAAGCTATTTTTACTTAACTATGAGCTAATTACTGTTATTTGCTATTAATTTAAGCCATTTATCTGAACCAGTTTCTATTAATTTTTCATTTTAAATTGAGCAGCATTTTGTACAAAGTAATATATTTGTGTTAAAAAAGTGTTAATCATATTATCTTTTTGATGGATTGCTGTGTTACAGATAATAAAAAATCCTTTATTTTGTTAGCTTCGAGAAAGAGTCTCAAACATCCTTGAGCCTGAAAAAAATGAAAATGACTTGTATCTTAGAAAATGGTTAATAGGTAAGTTGTTTTATCGATTTATAATATCGAACAAGTTTTTCAGATCATTCAAAACAGTTTTGAGTATAGTAGTGTTAGTACAGATTTATGTTGTATTTTTATGAATGGAATCTGTTACCTAAATATCTTTATTACGTATTTCTATCCATTAAAATGTCTTACTTCATGTAGTAAGACAACGCCCATTTTAATAGAACCATGAGCATTCGGGCTTTCGTAGTATCCTGAGCTCTTACCTATATCAACTTTCTCAAGCATAATAATAAAACTGTGAAAGTAAGTCGGATTTATAATGTCTATAAGTACTGAGGTGTTGCAAATGAAATCAACTTATATTTTTCCTAAAGGGAGATAGCCTATGTACACAGGTTATCAGCAGAATGTATTAATATTCTAATCTATGTGCAACCTTAAATCTTCAGTAAGAATTTAACGTCTCATTATTACAATTATACCTCACTGTTTATCAAATTGCTTAGTGTCATTAAATATGCGGAAACAATAATAAAGTGCTTTACTTCTGCAGTCATAAAATAGTCATAGGATACAAAACGTTTCTTTCCTCCATTAACCCCGATGTCAAATCTCTCGCTCTGTAAATGGTGGTAGAGATTAATACCAGATTTTTTAATACGCTTAGATCGATTTCTAATTAAAGAAGGTGCAAAATGCTAAAGAAGTCATGAAACTTTTGGATGGAGCTAGAAGCATGGGAGTTACAGTAGTTTCCCTTCTGCGTTCTCTTAGAATGTCCTCCACAAAAGCATCAATTCCCTTAATATGATTGCCTTCGTGTGCTTTGATGTAATCCTAATAATGCAATTCAAGAGTTTGATAAGGTTACCAAAATGTCACTGCAGATATTTTGTTCCCCCCTCCAAAATTCTTGGCGCCAAAAAGTTACCCCTTAGAAAATATGCCCTACTATAATCGATAAGTACTGGCAAAAATTTCACCATCTTACGAGTTCAGAATTAACTAAAACCATATTGAACTGCAGCAGTGTTCAAAATAGCAATTTATCGGCTTTACGAATTAATGCGTTGGGAACTACGGGTATAATTCAGTTTTTAACAAATTTTTGTTATAAATATTAAGGAAGAAAAGATTTAAAAAAAAATAATTGCTTGGTTACTAACAGTTTGCTTAGAAATAATGCTCCTGTTACAGTTGATTACATTTAAAAAACATGTGATCAGCTGTAGCAGTTCTTATTTTTGCATGCAAAGGAAAAATTTTCAAAGGAAATACAAGAAAAGGAAAAATTCGACAGATATGTAATGCAGATTATTAAAACACTTTTTGCCACAAAATATATGGAAGTGATATTTTTACAAGAAGACTAATATTGTAGTCTAATTTTGGTAGTCGAAGTAAGGGGAATTTCGATAGTAAAAGTAAGACGAATTTTAAAATTTTAATGATTTTGATTCTGGTATATGGTTTTTGAGAGAAAACATAACAGCGAATTCATGGAATAAACTCCAAAACGGTTAAAAAGTAGCATTTAAGTTTTTAACCAGTTATTTTATGTTCATGTGCTATAAACTTAAATCCAATGGAACTAATTCTTTTACACCCTTGTTTCTTCTAATTATCCCCCCCCCTTAACTAAGTTTTTCAGTTTGATTTCTGTTTCTTTAGTTTTGCAGTTTAATTCTTATGAGAGATGACTTTAATGTTTCACTGAAAACAGTGCAACTTTCATCTGAAAACAGTGATTAAATACGCTTATTTTTTCAAATTTACAGCTCGAAATTTTGATGTGGAGAAGGCAGAAGAAATGCTAAAAAAGGTAATTTTTTTTCGTTTTCCTATTTATTAAACTAAATTTATTAAACTTTTACTTTAGATGGGTGAATTAAAATCTAGGTCTGCATTAAGAAGATTGACCAGAATTAAACATCTAAGTGTTAAAAATACAGCATCAATAATGATTTCATTAAAATGAGCACATTTTTTATACCTTATACCTAACAAAACATTATTTTTCTGCATTACTATCATTGTTTGCTTAAAAATTAAATTTACTGAGATTGGAATATGCATTTCCTTTTGACTTTTTATGCAGTGTTCCCTGCTCATGTTATTACAATACCTAAAGGAATCCCCTACACCTCTATATTAACCTTCCCGAATAATGCTTGAAAGTACAGTTTCCCAGCATGGACATCGAGAACTAAGTGTGCACTTTTTGTTCAAAGGGCAGTAAGGAATATTGAAAACTAAGTGGGAATAAAAATATATTTGGAGAATTTGGTTACCTAAATATTGTAGCGAAAATTGCTTCATCCAATATAACCCCCTGACACACCGTTTACCAAAACTGGAATAGATCTACTTGGACGCTTTCCTGTTACTCGAAATGGGAACCAGTGGATTATAGTTTTCACAGATTACATTACCAGATTCACAGTCACAAAGGCAATACCGACAGCTGAGGGCACCGAAATTGCCAAATTTATAGTTGAAGAAATTGTACTGAAGCATGGTGCCCCTAAAGAAATGATAAGTGACCGGGGACGCAACTCCCTACCCAAAGCTGTTAAAGAAGTAATTCATCTGTGCAAAACGTCTAATCTTCTGACGACTGCTTACCACCCTCAGACCAATGGCTTAACTGAAAGATTCAATAAGACACTAGCAGACATGTTGCCCATGTACGTAGACGTTGAACAGAAAAATTGGGATACTATTCTACCATTTGTAACCTATGCCTATAATTCAGCCAAACAAGACACAACAGGATTCAGCCCATTCTTTCTCATTTATGGCAGAGATATCCAGACTCCTCTCGACGTAATTTTTCCATACAGTATCGAAGATTCCGACGATAGTTATGCGCAACATCTGATCACTAGAGCGGAAGAAGCTAAACAGCTTGCAAAACTCCATATTCTTAAAGCGCAAACCACAGACAAGCGCTGATATAACGAGAGTCATCCTGTCAACTTACAACATCGGAGACTTAGTCTGGGTCTTCACTCCAGTACGAAAGGTTGGGTTATCGGAAAAGCTTTTAAGACTTTACTTCAGACCGTATCGAATAACACGACAGCTCTCTGACGTGACGTACGAAGTAGAAAGTATGGAACAAAATAGGAAACGACGGAATTCAAAAGACATTGTTCACGTATTGAGATTAAAGCCCTATTTTGATCCAAAAGTACAACTAGACGATGAAAGAAAGCCCAATATTTCTAGGAAACCTGTTACAAGAAGCCAGACGAGATCGCAGCGGGATACTGCTTCTTCCTAAGAAGTGGGAAATGTAGCGAAAATTGCTCTTTTCGACCGAGCTCCTCATAGTTTAGCGGAGAAGACGCAGGACCTTGAAACCCGAAGGTCCCGGATTCGAAACCCACAACTTTAAGATTCCTGATAATTGGTTTTCATGTAAATTTCCTCCTTATTCTTCCAGAACATTTTGAGTCTGGAATGTTCCAGCATGTTCACCAGCTGTATATAAGTAGTTCTTCATTCAGTTCGAGATAATAAAAAGTCTTGAGTTTAGACTTGAGTTCATTTGTACGATCCCTTCATCTATGCGACAATATTTTTGAAAAATTTAGTTGATTATGCAAATATTATAGTCGAATCTTTACAAGAATCATACCAAATCATGTTATTAGGTCCTTCACTCATGCTGTTCCAAGTTAAATGTATTCACTATTGTTATCTATTCCGGGGTTATAAAGTAATGATCTTAAATTTAAAAACATTCCATGTTTATAATTACAGTCATATCCCTTTCGCTAAAGCAGTACATTTCTTCTTCATATATTACTACGCGTGGCGTCGCAGGAATCTGTGCATATTTTTCAGGTTTAGTAGTATAAATGCTATGAGAAATTTCTAATCTTCCAGATTGCATGATTAGATTTAATTCGTGATTCGTTTATGTGCATTCATTTTCAAAGGGCATCTAATATAGTATCATTGCAACGGTGCGGATTGCAAAATAAACTCCAAAGAACATTGAGAAAAAACATCTATGAAAACAAGCCGAAGAAGGAGAAATATTTGGGAAGCTGTATTTTAAGGAAATACAATGGAATTAAGTTATTTTATTATGGAAAGAATGCCGCAGCAGACTTTTTAAGGCTCATTAATTTGTGTGTCCAACATTGGGGAATATATCCGAACAATTAGCCACCTAAGTTCTTTACATTATATTATTTCTAAGGGTTCATGAGAGCGGATACAAAGGTTTTTGACTGACAGTCTGTATAATAGTTTGCAACATATTGAAGCAAACATTTTCCCTCTACATTTCTTCGTAATCAGCAGAGAATTTTAATTAGGGAAGAGAAGAGAGGAAAATTTAAACATTTTTTGACTTTGATTTTTCATAAGTTCTTCCTCTTGCATTCTAAATATGATATTAAAGATTAAGAATATTGCTCGTTCGAGCAGTCAATTCTGACGACGTAAGGACCTTAAATTGCCATTTTGTATGTATGACTACCAAAGATTTAAAAGATATATAACAGTGTCCTTTCCTCTTCAAATGACTAGATACTTGCTCGAAAGCATTCCAAACCCATTGGTCATATAGCAGTCTCTTTACCAGTAAAGTTACCCATATATGAAAGTTTAGACGTTCAAAAAGACAGCTAAAGTGATTTAATATAAATGCTCAGCTTGAGGAGTTATTCTAATTTCTATTATCACAAACAAGAGCTTCAAAATACATTTCTTTCAAAACAGAATTTTCGGTGAACTGTCTTTCGATGGTTTTCCCGTTATTTAACGTGACTACGAGCTAGTTTCCCTTAGTTTTTCATGAAGGCATCTTCTCTTTTATATAGATAACCCTAGCATGCTTTGCGATAATCTAATGAAATAAACATTAAAAGCGATGAATCTGGCCTATAGGGTGATAATGTATGCTCTAAGACAGGAATTAGAAAACGTTTGACACTTCCAAGAAGTAAACGTAATGAGCATATGTGAAGACCCCAGAGTTATGTTTATTTCGCTTTATTTTGACTAAATATTGTAAGAATTAGATCTTTTACTATTCATGAAACATTTAGAATTAATACTAAAATAATACAAATAACCCTTACACAAACTTTTATACATGGAGGTTTCTCAATATATGCATTATAAAATATTTTGTACATAGCTAGGACAATTCGGAGGTGACACGAGAATATAGCAAAATTTTGTTATAGCTAAGCATAAAATGCGTATAAATAGCTATCATCCTTATCATTAACGTTCATAAAATATACTTCACAAATACTTTATGAATATTCTTTTGCTTGACTTCTAGTGTTAATAATATGTATAATGGGTTGATTCATGTAAGTCAGAACTGATTGATATAAGTTCATACGTACAGGTGATGGCCTGCCGATGACGTAAATATCGAAAATTTCTCTACGGCATTGTAAATATTTGACTTGAATACAGCGTCTTTTTACACTTTCACAATACCATTGCACTAGAATAACGATAAAATAATGCGGGCAAAAACGCTAAGCATATGGTGCTCTTTCTTCAGTAGTTGCATATGTGTAAGCCATAATTAATTTTCTTAGTCGTCTTTTAACTAATTTCTCATTGAAAAAACGTACTTACTAAATTCTAATACTGTAGTATACAGTGCAAGATAAATTAATATAAAATGAAGTTATAAAGGAAAATTAAGCAAAAATTGTAAAAGATATTATTGATATAACAACAAAGATTATGCAAGTAGTGATAATGTGTGCATATGTATGTGCATGAGTGCCTGTATATGTGCATTAAAGAATTAAAATATTATGGTCAGTCAATTTGCTCTGCCTCATAGTGATCAAGAGGCTAAATCTTTGGAACTGTCAGACTTGCAATACGGATCCATTCTTGGAAGGGAAAAGTGCTCCCTTTTCTAAAATTCTTCTCGTGAACAATATAAATACAGTGCAGTGTCTCTTAGAAAGTCTTTCATAAAGATGCCAGCCAAACCGACAGGTAAAACAAATGGATGCTAGTATTTAACACAAATGAATTCAATCCCGACAAGTTTTCACTATATGTGATGTAAATAAGAGTCATTTTCCTTATAAAGTTCTCAGCAAAATCATCTCTCTCTTATAGTGTTTCACCAAAATTTAAATCATTTGAAAATAACCCAAATCGTTCACAAGCTTTCTAGGTAATGTTTTCTTTCTTTTTTCAAATTAAAAGAACGGCGAGTAAGAAACCGCGCTTGTCAGGTTCATAAAACTTTGTAAAGAAAGTTGTTAGTTATAGCACAGTTCACAGTATTTAGATGGGAAAAACAAATGAGTGCGATAAATATAAGATCCCCGAAAACAGCAAGGCATTTCGTGCTTCTCTTTAGGGTTTATCAAATTCATAGTTTTTATTCCTGGGATTTCATTTAATTCTTCGAGAAATTTTACTGCTTTATAGATCTCAGAAATGGAAGATCTAGGCTCTGTTCTTCAATAATTAAAAATTAGGCAAAATGAAAGACAAAAGTTGAGGGATAAATAAAAGCTCCAATTTAATAACCAGTAGCCGCGGGATTAAAGACTAATTCGTTCTGGGTTCGAACATTGACTAACGGACTGTTTGCATGTTTGGAGTTCCTCGTGTGTAAAATGAATACGAGTACTGCTTTCGTGCAAACTCTCCACGAAAGCATCCCTTCCCGCAGATAGCCCACGTGTGCTTTTCCATACTCAAACAACCGACCATAACCAACCAAATTAATAAAAACTGAGCAAAAACTAAACAAAATAGTAAATTATGTGTACTTAATTGGACATACAAATTTACTAAAAAAAAGCAGGAGTC